TTTAGGGTTTAAGGTTTAGGGGGGTTGAGGGTTAAGGATTCAGAATTAAGGACTTACGGCATCATGGTTTATAGGTAGTATAGTGTTCAGGGTTTAGGGTTCAGAGTTTAGGGTTTAGGGTTAGGGCACAGCCCATGGCACCTCATACTCGCAGCAGGATCGTAGCAGAATGCTCATAGAAGGACCCCCTTCTCTTTCGCCCCAGAGGGACCTGGACGAACGTGATGGAAAGGGGCAACACCTACCTAGAACCAAATTTGCAGTACCTGTTTTGGTTCCCTAAACCCTAAACCCTAAACCCTAAACCCTAAACCCTAAACCCTAAACCAAAGGGTACTATACCTTCTAGGGCCTAGGTCAACCCTGAACCTAAGCCCTGCCACAACAGCTCCAGCATAAACTTTGGGTTTAAGAGCTACTTTACGGGTTACCCATAGGCCCATTGTAGTTCCTCTTTGGGGTTCATATATAGAATCCTATAAGGTGACCCCCAAAAGGAACTACTATGGCGCCTATGGGTATCAGCAGGTCGCCTACTAGGGTTTAATTCCACTCCGCTAAGAAGGTAAGCACCAAAGCATCTTGAAAGATCTCTAGGCAAGGGATCATAAGCCAGAGTAGTCGGTGTTTTAGCGATTGGTCGTCCCGAGCGTGATGTTTTCAATTGGGTGTTGAATCCAGAACACCACTTTTCGCCAACTGGTGTGATGGCGCTGCGACACTGAATCCAGGGCACGTTTGCGGGATTGGACTGACATCTTAACAACCCTGAATATCCCAAAAGCCCCCTATAAACGGTGGAAGCCCTGTGGACCACCTTCAAGCCGTGTAAACCCCACAGCCCAATGTAGTGGCCCTGATACTTAGAAGAGGGCTTTGGCGCATACTGTATAGTGTACCCAAACCCCCAAAAAGATCTAAAAAATAGATCCCCTAAGGGGGTTCCTATAAAGTACCCTTTAGTAGTTAGGGTCCCTCAAGAAAGGGATCTATTTTTTAGATCTTTTGGGGGGGTAGGTCAGGCTTGTATGGTTCAGACAGAACAGTTTTGGTATCCAGGATTCGGCTACTAAACACATCCTATTGTGGCCCGCCTGTTGTTGAAGTCCTCCTTCGTCATGTTCCCTGCCACGTGGTCCCTGGACAGGTTCTGCAGTATTCCTAGACGCAGGCTTCCTTATTCACCATACTTTCTACTACAGCTTAAGGAATAATCCTTACTTGAAGTTCCCAAATCCTGATATAAAATCCCTAAACTCTATACCCTACACCCTAAACCCTAACCCTAAACTGCCGTATAAAGCTACTACAGCCACCTCTGAGAGATAAGTTGGGCCAGATGATTCCCCTAAAGGCCTCCACGTACCGATGTAGTATGGACTTTGGCCCTAGAGTACCCAGAACGGGATCCTTAAAGGGCTCCTATAAGGGGGTTTGGGGTTTAGGGGGTAGGGTTTAGGGTTTAGGGTTTAGGGTTTAGGGTTTAGGGTTTAGGGTTTAAACCCTAAACCCTAAACATCCCCTAAGGCCGTTGACCTCCGAAGTGCAAGATATGCCAGGAACTTCTCGTGCGAAGGCCCATAGTTCACCTTCCCAGAGATATTGGAGGGCTTAGGCTTTTTGGGGTTTAGGGCTTTAGGGTTGAGGGCTTTGGCTTTAGGGCTTTAGGGCTTTAGGGTTTAGGGTTTTGGTTTAGGGTGTAGGGTTGAGAGTTTAGGGTCTAGGGTTTAGGGTTCCCAGAGCTTCACGGGCTTGGACAAGGGTTTCTCAGAGTTTTGGGGTTAAGGATTTAAAGTTTAGGGGGTAACATTAGAGTTTATTCAAGTTTCTGAGGGTTCTGCACCAATGCACCCTAAGCGCACCTAAGTGGCGAGAGCCTGAACCCTTGACCTGAAATCCTTTAGCCTAGACCCCCAAAGAGTCCAAGGTACCGTTGTATGGGTTTAGGGTTTAGGGTTTAGGGTTTAGGGTTTAGGGTTTAGGGTTTAGGGTTCATACTTTCCCAACTCATAGTGGTGATTCCTACTATGCGAACCATACATTCTACCAACTAGGCACTGAGGATGTTTGGGGGCCCTACACCCAAAATTCGCAGCCAAGTGCAGAAACCCTAACCCCTAAACCGGTACCCACCACCGAAACGCCCAGCCAAGGGGCGAAATAGTAGTAGGATCGAATGCGCTCGACCGGCTCGCGGAGAATGGTCGTCACCACCTCTGACGTGGGAGAGATGTGAGGGTTGAGGGCTTATTTAGAGGGTTCACAGGGGTTATGGTTTAGGTTTAGGGTTTAGAAATTAACCGTCAGGATCTAGTAGTCTAGGGTTTAGGGTTCAAGGATTTGAGATTTTGGGATTTGGAGCTGACTGTTCAGAAGCCGGCACTTCCACTAGTTTCCGGTTCCATTATGCCGAGGGTCGTGGGGTCAAGGGCTTACGTCGATACAACAACAATTGACCTTAAACGTCTTTAACGATGAAACCTCAAGGGACCAAGTGCCTATATCCGATGCGTTTAGAAGGGCAACCATACATGGGAAATTCTGGTTCTACGTATGTACTGAATCGGTGCGTGGACCTCTCCAGGGAATTACCCCTGAGGGTCCATGTGCCCAAATAGTATATACATTGGCCCCAAGGTACTTATATAGGGACTACTTTAAGGCCAAAGTATATCTATTTGGGAGTTTCCCAAAATAGGGGACCCTAATATAGTACCCTAAATAATAGGATGCCTATTGTAAGGACCCCCAAATAAGGTACCCCTAATTTTCGGAAACCCCCATTTGGGTGCATGGACCCTCAGGGTACACAAATCAACGAGTCCTTGGGAGTCCAAGCCGCAACCCGCTTGTGCTGAAAGAACGGCGGCAACCATACGCGAGTCCATGCCTGGATGAGAGCATTATTGGTTCGGATACATGAAGGTTTAGGGTTTAGGGTTTAGGTTTAGGGTTTGGGGTTTGGGGTTTAGGGTTTAGGGTTTGGGGTTTGGGGTTTAGACCTACCCAGAAGAATCTAAGTATCTATATGGAAGAAAATGAGTTTCTACTTTACTAGGAACCACGGCTATGATTTGCGGGAGAATCCCTCATAACGGTACCAAGGACCCTTTGGGCCATAACTTATAACCCGATCATACCCTGCGTAACTAGCTCAGAAGACCTGGCACACCCAGAGGCTCCAAACAGGCTACCATTATGGAATTAGGCCTCTAAAGCCATAATAAGTATGGTCTTTTTAATTCCATAGGTGGGAGTGTATATGGAGCCTCCAGGATAGTGTAAGTCGAATGGTGACTTGGCGACAAGCTAACAGAATCCTGCAAGTCGTCCGTAGGGCTTCGAGGTTCAAGCGTTTTGAGGTTGAGGGTTTAGAGTTTAGGGGTTAGGGTTTAATTCCAGAGTTCTTAGACCGTCCAACTAGTATCGTCAAAATACCCACTCTCCTTGAAGTTAAGGTTCATATACCAGAGAGAGTGGTATTCATAGTGTCAGGGTACAGGGCCACTACGTTTGAGGGCCGTTTCGTCCCCTAGGCTAACGGCTCTATTTAAAGCCCTAAGGGTCCAAGTATCGAAATCGTAGAGTTTTCAAAGGGCAAAAAGGCATTCAAAGTATGGAGTTTGGAACTTGAAACCCTACAAACCCTAAACCCTAAACCCTACATCCTAAACCGTTAACAGCAAACCGTGGACCCTCTAGCGAGGTGCTTAGACGGGGCTGCTTTAAGGCTCAGCTTCTACATACTGGGCTTTGAAGTGGTATACGGACGAGGGTTTAGGGTTTAGGGTTTAGGGTGTAGGGTTTAGGGGTTTAGGGTTTTAGGGTTTAGGGACCACATGATATAAGGCTTTTGGGCGATTTTGATGCTAAGGGAAAGGTTCCTTTTAAATTGAAGGAGCAGGTTCCAATGAAGTATTCAAGTATAGTACTCTGGAACCCAGTTGAGGGTGTGAAAGAGCATAGTATGCAAGGAAACCTAGAGGGCAACAATTGGTCATGATTTAGGCGTCTATGCTAGAGGCTCCATATACACTAGCTATTTTGGAATTAGTAGGCCCCCCAAAGCCATGATAGGGATAGTCTTTTGGAACCCAATTCCAGACTAGTAGTCTATATGGAACCTTTGCTTGGGTCAAAAAAACCTACACCCTAAACCCAATAGATCTACCCTAAACCCTAAACCCTTAATAACAGAAACCTCTACCCTAAACCCTCTACCCTTAACAAAAACCTAAGCCCTAAACCCTCTACCCTAAACCCTAAACCCTGTACCGGTAGCCTATAAGAAACCTCTGGGGTAGAATAACTGGGTGGTAGTTTTGGGGCCCTGAAAAGTATTTATGAATAGGTACCTCTATAGAAAACGTAAGGGGAAGTTTAAAGTTTCCCAAATTGCCACCTAGATAAACATCCTTAACAAAAACCCTAAACCCTAAACCCTATACTTGTAGTCAATAAGAAACCTCTGGGGTAGAATAAACATCGCGGCCCGGGCGGCGACGTTCCAAAGCAGCGCCAAGCGCTTCGAGTCTGGCCACAGGTTCTGAAGGCTCGTCGGGTCCGAAGCGTTGGCCTTGGTTTAGGGTTTAGGGTTTAGGGTTTAGGGTTTAGGGTTTAGGGTTTAGGGTTTAGGGTTTAGGGCTTTCAGAGACGGCCATATAAGGGCTGTCATAGACTTCAGGGTTGAGGATTTCAAACCCCAGGAGCTCCATCCCCCCTATCGCGAAACTCGAAATCATCTTAAACCGTACCCTTTGCCAGGACCCAACAAGGGCCCTTTAATAGAGCCCTTATGGTCCTTAATAGTAGGTACTTAGGGCATAATAGAGGGTTCGTTGGGGGTTCGAGGTAGTTCTTACATCCAGGATATACCCAATATACCTAGAATCACTGCTCCATTTGGTTCCAGCAGCACGCTGTGTTCAAATTTCGCATCGCGACATCCTAGCGTGCCACTACGCGAAAAAGATTTAATGCTAAGTACTCTACCACTCAGTTCAGAAACCGAAAGGAATACCACTGTTCCTAGAGCACGAAGCCCAAACCCTGAATCCATCAAGCACTAACTCTCTAAGCCGTAGTAAACCCTAAAACTCTACACCCGAAGCACTGCACCCCAAACCCTAAACCCTGAAACTCTAAACCCGAAGCTTATAAACCCCACAGTCGGGAAA